GCATTAGCTTTACTTTGGGTTTTATTTTGTGTCTCAACTCTCTTGTGCGCTAAGAATGGCTATAATAAAGGCAAACAGTTTTATGTGTTTGTGACTGAACTCCGATAAATGTTTTTTCATATCAAACATCTATATTCATCTCTATATTTACATTTTGAGATAAGACAACATTCTAGACACAATAAAACCTAGACTTGTATATGCAAATTTATTAATTATCAAAACAATTAATAGCAAAAGGAAAACAAAGCAATTAATATATTAATCAATAGTATCCAGACCATTATCCACTATACAAAATTGTGGGTGCAATATTTATATTTAAATAGTACAGAATTTAATCAAGTACATGTGTCATCAAATATAATAGGTTATGTACTGTGCTATAATAGCTTCCTATCTTTCAGTTTATAGATCAATGAACAATAAACATTCAAGTATATTTTATATAATAAATTAATTTAAAACATATTCTACAAATATGTTAATTATTTATTAAATAATATAAAACAAAAATAATGTTCATTCATAAATTCATGACTTCCTACATTTTAATTAAATATTTTGAGTAACATTAAAAATATAAATACAAAATTGTACTTTAAAAATACCTAACAGAATATTAAACTTTTTAAATATAATTTAAAATCCAACTTAATTAAACACAGGAATTTTGTTAAAAATAAAACAATTTAATCTAAAATAAACGAAATATTATAAATAATTTATACTATTATACAGTCGCACATTAATTACAAAAAAATATTGATTTGAAAAGACGTGATATTAATGTAAAAGAGTGAAAAATAAATTAATTTTTTAATGACTATAATAGATGAAAGAAATGGTATTTTAATAAAAAATAATATAATTTTCATTTAATTGAAAAGTTCTAGAAATGAGTTGAGAGCAAAAATAAAGTAAAATAATAGACAGAAAAAAATATATATAAAACATTAAGTTTAATCATAAATTTTAATGCATTTTCTTTTACAACAAAACTCTTGTGATAATAAACTTCGCTTTTGTTGTCATCCATAGTCTGACTTTACTTTCGCTTTGCGTTTATACAATAATTTTTCACTTGTCTGCCCATTTATGGCACTACCGGTGCGATTACGCGATTACTGTTGGCAATGGACAGGGTATGGATGAGAAAAAGGGAAGACATGCTACAGACGAAGAAAGAGGACGTCCAGGTATTGGGTTACCGAGACTTCGTGCCCGACCGCAAAGAAGGCGCCAAAATCGAGACCTTAGATGAGGTGATCAATAGAGTGAACGCCATTATCAGAGACGGCAAGTTTGAGGGCAGAATCGTCTCCATTGAATGCCTTCCCTGTGAATCCACTGGTGACCTAAGATTTGATCCGGAGGTACAGTACAGAAGTAATCCCTCAAATCCCTCTCATTTGCATACATACCGATCCCCAATTGAATGCCACGACGAGTATATTGCATAAAAATCTCATTTATATAAAGTCTTTAATTATGCGACAGATAGAGAAGCACTTCCTCAGGATTTCTGCTCTTTAGAGACTCCATGAGAGCTTTAATTAAGTTTTTTGTTATGTATAGCAAACCATTTGATACGTTCAAACAAATACGAAACCTTAATTAGCGGAACGGTATTACACGTTATAATTTAGTTGTTGTATAATTGTGTGATGGATAGCTATAAAAGGATTTCGGATCCCATTTATAAGTAATGGGAATTCACTTCAATCTATCCGTTTGACTCTCATTTAAATAATAAAATTGTTTTCCATTTCGGGTCTAATGAGTAGTAATGAGTGGGAAAATGAGACATGCAATTGCAATTGTTGTCCAAATGTTCAGTTTCAAATTTCAAAGCTTAATGAATAGAAAGAAAATTATTCAATAAATACATTAAATATCTTTCTATTAATAGCCGTAATTTACACGTTTTCAAAGTATGTGCACTTTAGTCCAAACTAAATAATTTCCACCAGTATTATAATACTTTATGGATATTTAGGCTTTAATATTAAGAATTTTATTAAATATAACACAAATATTTAGCAATAAAAATAGTTTAAATTCCGCAAATAATTTGTCTTACGTAAAATAATTTTTTTTCCTAATAAATCATAATATATTCTAGATTTAAAACTAAAAGTCATTATTTTGATGACTTTATTATACAGCACTGCAAGTACTGCAGTAATAAATGCAATGCAATATACAATATAATGACATAATGTTTCAAACAGTAATAATCGATCGCAAAAGCCTTATATTATCGCCGATTCTGTAGTGAATACGCGTAACGACTCATTGAATGTGATTTGTGTGTTATGTTTGAAGGCAACCCTCCCGGGCTCGTCGGACACGACGGTGACAGTGGTTCGGATATACTACGAGGAGGGGCCGTCATCTGAGGAGGAGATAGGGATCGCCGACTTCGTGCCCCTACACCTGTCGGGCGGCAGTCTGTTCTCGCGGCCGGAGTTCGAGACGTTCGACACAGTGATGAGTCGGGCCTCCCGTTGGCTGTCGGAGAACCCGGAGATTAATTTCCGGAGCGCTCTGTCGATCGATTTCAAACTCAAGTCCAGTCAGTCGTCCTATCAATCACTTTATCCTATTATACAACCGTTTTATAAAATTTTTGTTTCACATATTCTCGAGAAATGTTTTGATAGTCCGATAGCGCTCTACAATAAGCGTTTAGTTTTATAATCAAGTTTTAAAAGTCTGTGTTATACTTGAAATACAATAAAAACCTTTAATATTAAGTTATGGTAAATGAATTCCTGGAAAATAAAATTTTATATAAACTCAAATAAATAGCTTATAGAAACCCATTGGACGTAAATAATAGTGAAATCAATAGATAGAAAGCAAATTCTTGTTTTTTTCATTTAAACAATTTATTTGAATTAAACAAAAGGATAGCGAAAGTGTTTACACTCTTTATAAGCCCACAGTTTTATTGCATAAAACCCAAAAAAAGTTTAATTAAAGATTCTTGTACAGAATTTGTTAAGTAGTCTATCATAAAGTATAGCTATTGTTCAGAATATTCTATATAATTCTGTATACAGACTATTGTCGGCAAAATAAGCCTTTATTTTCGTAAATCAATACAAATAATATATTCTTGTAGTGACGACATTAGACACGCGAATAATGACCCAAACTGACCAGGCTGGCGATTTTGTGCGCATATTTCGTGTGGTATACACCAAACCATTTGATGTTGCCGAAGATATCGAGCGCTCGGCATGTCTTCCACCACTTCCTCCCATTTATTTGGATTCGCAAATGTTTTTATTAAAGTCCAGAAACTACGCGGACCTCAAGAAAGCGATCAGCGATTGGTATAACACGGAGATTGTGGGCAAAGATAGCGGCAATTGTGTTGAGACGGGTTCCGGCAATTCGGGCTCCGGTTCCGGTTCGGGAGAGTTCACGGATATTGTGGCCGAACCGTCCACTTCCAAGTAATCGATGAATACATTAACAATACATAAATAATTGATATATTATTAATGAGTTTAGGCTTTCGTTTGCATTGCATCTCAGGTCTAAGTGTCAGCTGTTATCGTGTGAAACGCTGTCTGTTTTCGCCAAAAATCAGACCGGATTTGAGGAGAGCTTCAACTCGAATAGAGTCGGAGCCAGAAATCGGTGCACTTTTATCGCTGTCCGCCTCTACTATGACTCCGGCTATCATTTGCATAAAACCCGACAGGGGATCAACACCACAGCCAATCCCAGTGCACCCAAAGCCGACAAAAAGTCGCCGTCTTGTGATATCAGCTAAATATTGAGACATTTTTTCAAACAAAAATCAATTCTTAATCATATTTCTTATATATTCTCACTAAACATATGCACA